TGTGAATGTTTTGTCTTTCCCCATTTGTATTAATGCAATGATACGCAGGATACACACATACATAGATACTTATATAGACATATGTATTTATGTATGTAGACACCTGTCTGTCATTAATCTTGGTCAATATGATAGGTGAAAAGTTTCTCCTGGTGACTTTTTTTTCTTTTTGAAATTTTTATTTAAATTCTAGTTAGTTAATATATAGTGTAATATTTGTTTCAGGAGTAGAATTTAGGATTCATCACTTAATATAACACCAGTGCTCATCAAAACTGCCCTCCTAGGGCACCTGGGTGGTTCAGATGGTTGGGCGTCTGCCTTTGGCTCAGGTCATGATCCCGGGGTCCTGGGATCGAGCCCCGCATCGGGCTCCCTGCTGGGCGGGGAGCCTGCTTCTCCCTCTGCCTCTGCCCCTCTCTCTCTCTCTCTCTCTCTCACTCTCATGAATAAATAAATAAATAAAACATTTTTAAAAAGTGCCCTCCTAGATACCCATCACCTATTTAGCCCATCCCCCACCACCTCCCCTCTCTGTGTGATTTTAAGTTGCATTTTCCTTATTTTAAATGAGATTGAGCAGCTCTTCAAATGTTTCAGGCTATTAGTATATCCTCTTCTATAAGAAAAAATTACAGAAATCATTTGGAAGAAATTATAGAAAATTATCTATATTGCCTGTAATTTGTTTTTATGTTTTCTACTGTGTTCAGCCTTTATACATTGCTGTTTGCAGGAACTCTTTATATAAAGTATAAAAGGCTAAAAATTAGCTTTTTTATAGAATATGAATTTCAAATATCTTTCCTAGTTTGCCTTTCTTCTTTGACTTTGCTTATGTGGTTTTTGCCATGCAGATGTTTACTTTTGATATAGTCAAATTTATCAATCTTTTATGACTTCTGGGTTGGTGTCATACTTTGAAAGACCTTTCCAGTTGTAATTTTGTATAAACATTGTTTCATAATTTCTTCTGTTCAAAGTTTCATGTTTTATATTTTCAAATATTTAATCCATCAGGATTACAAGATGTGAGGTTTAAATGTTTTTAAGTTTGATATGACCATAAGCTAACACCTTTTATTAAGCAATACATCTTTTCCCCCTACTGATTTAAGATGCCACCTTTTCATATACTAAATTTCCTTATGTATTTGAGTCTATTTCTGGACTTGCTTTTTCAAATTCACTGATGATTTTTCACTCATGAATGCCCCAATTATCTTAATGATTATCAAGTCCAAGTCAGCCTCACTAGATTATGACAATACACTAGTGAACTCAAACATCCATGTAGCCAAACAGTAAACCTCTACTTGGTTCCCTGCCATGAGGATGTAAATTGCACCTGGCAGAACGTGAAGCTGGCATGGAAAAGAATGCAGTAGGCAAGTCTGGGATGGCATAACAGTCTGGCTAGGCTTGTTGTGCCTCCTATAAAGTTTTAATATATTAGTTACAACTGAAGCAACTTTAGGAAAGAGCTGTTTAATCACCAAGAGTCTGCTGTTAACCTCCAGGAACTGTTTTCCCATACACTGGCCAGATAGGACTGTTAAAAGGGTTTGTGGGGATTACAAGGCTCCCTTCAGCGATCTCCTTCATCAGAACAGTCATTTCTTGTTGCTCTTCTGGAATTCAATTTTGCTTAGAGTTTACTACCTAGGAGGGTTTGAGCAATTCCAGTGGTACATATTTAACACGGCCAAGTAAAACTGGATGAAGGGCAGACTTAGTCCATGCTCTATTCACTTAAAATCGTCCCAACTCTGTGTTCGGGTAAAGTCAATGGGACCGAAGCCACACTTTCCCATTCAGAACTGTTTCTACCTTGGTTTTCTCTGCCACACTATCTCTGGTATCTCTTTTGGATCTTTTAGAGCACTGTAACTCTCTCCGATGGAAATTAATGTGCACTGAGTGCCTGTATGTAGTAATTCTAAGAAGTCTGGCATGCTGCCCTTTGACTACTTCACTCAAAACCTTGCACAGGTCTTCAGGCATAGGGTAACTGCTCCTTGCTATTATGAGCCCTGGGTATTGAGCTATTCTTTATTGCTTTTCCTAAGCTCTGTCTACACCTGTGTAAATAGTCCTTTTATTACACAGATTCAGAGTGTTATCTTGTTCCTGCTGTGACCCAGTTCTCATTATAAAAACAGGAAATTATAAGCCTCAGATACTTCAATACTGAAAAAAGCAGTATAAAACCTACATTCTTTGATTCAGCTCTAGCTAATAAAGCATAATATTAAAACGAGAGCCTGCATCCTATAATTAGTAGTTATCAAAGAGGAACATATGGGAGGATAAAAGATTTGTTAATTCTAGTGTGTGAATAGACAGGGCTGTATTTTGTAGAACATTTCAGAATAAGTTGAAAAGGTGAAGCTGAAAATGTCTACCGGACATTTCTAGGATATGCTAAGAATATATCCAACTTGTGTTGGGGGGAACCCCATTTTATATCAACTCCTATCTGGTTTGTCTCTTATACCTTATAACTTTTTTTTTTAAATTTTAGAAATAATAACCCTTAATGACACTTGTTAAAGATTTGGGAAATATAACACAGCTAATAGATAAAACTGATGTATGCACAATTTGAATTTAAAATGTTTTCACTGTACTTCAGATTATGAACCAAAATGTATAGACCCTTATATAAACATGATATTATCATATGTATTGTGGCACATTTTCTCAGCTAAGGAGGATCATTATTACCTGAGTCTGGATGCTGAGAAAACTGTCTCAAAGAAATACCCTGTGCATATTCTCTTAAGTAAAACCAGGCAAGGTGATAAAAGCTCAAAGTGGAAAAAAAAATGATCAAGAAGATGAGAAACTTCAGTAACATGAGAGTTTTCAAGAGACTGAAAAAATACAGACTTTCAGTCTAGAAATACTAAAATTTTGAACATTCTATTAATGAAAAGTTTTAAAATTTTTATGGAAAGGTTGCCATGGACTTCATAGATTTCCAGAAATCTGGATTTAGAAGGTATACTTAGGATTCTAAAAGAGAGTTTTTATGCTTAGAGAGAAAAGGAGAAAGGAAGGTAGAGGAGGGAAGGAGGGAGGAGAGAGTACTTGAGCTAAGTATAACACCCAATATTTGCACAACCAATAATGGAACACACTGGAAGTAGAAATAGAGTCAAGAGAAATTTAGATGACTTTATGATGTTCAGCTCACTAGTGTTTTTAAAAGGGCCATTTGAGACATATACTAAAACTTAATTTTGAGTGATAGAGGACAGTGAAACAATTTTGTAAACTTTCTTTGCTGTTTTATCAAAGACAACACTATGCTAAGATAGTATTCTAGTCCAGGGTAGTGTTTCAAGAAAAATAACAACAAAAAAGAGAGATTTATGGAGAGCTTACATTACATGCCCCACCCTGTGCCAACTATATTACATGGATTATGTCTTTGGACCTTTGAGGAACATGGTGTATTGTCCCCATTTCTCAGAGAAACCAAACTGAGGCTTGGAGAGGTTAAGCAATTTTGACCATGTCATACAACGAATGCCTAGTGGAGTCTGTAAGTAACTGCTCTTGAACATGTTCTCCTGCATTTAAAGCAAGATGACTTTTGGTGTGAAGTGATACATAAAGGCACACGCATATACACACATGCACATGGCAAATCATTAACAAACTAGGAGATTTTAATATCAGTAGAAATGGCTGTTTATTTAGAACATATGAAAACAATGTCATGTAAGATTATCAGAGTCATGTATACATAGGATGAAGAATTTGCAGGCCTGAAATAGATGCATTAGGGCCTGGGCTAAAAATCATTTGACAGTTGTTTTAAACTGTCCCTTGCTAGAACTGATGCCAATGCTAAATGCCCAATCAGAAGATGAGTTGGCAGGTAAGACTCCATTCTAAAATCACTGGCTGGCCCTAAGGCATTTTCTGTGACTTGTGAAGACATTATTGTGTCACAAAGATTATAGGCAGAGAGACTCAGCAGCAGGAAGAAGCACAGCACATGGGACCGGGGCAGGTGGAGATGACACAGGTGGGGTGATAGCAAGTGGTGTGGCAGGAGACCCGGCCACAAACTGGGCGCAGGCAGCAGGAGGGGCAGCAACAGGAGGGGCGGCAGCAGCTGGAGCCACAGGAGGAGGGGCAACAGCAGGAGGGGTGGCAGAAGCTGGAGCCACAGCAGCTGGAACCACAGCAGGAGGGGCGGCAGCAGCTAGAAATGCAGCAGGAGGGGGGGCAGCACCTAGACACGCAGCAACTGGGGCGGCAGCAGGTGGTCCGGCAGCAGGTGGTCTGGCAGCAGGTGGGGCGAGAGGAGCTACAGATGCTGCAGCTGGGTCTGCAACAGCTGGAGTCACAGCAGGTGGGGCCACAGCAGGTGGGGCCACCGCAGGCGGGGCGGCAGCAGCTGGAGATGCAGCTGCTGGGCCCGCAGCACCTGGGGCCACAGCAGCTGGAACCACAGCAGGAGGGGCGGCAGCAGCTGGACACACAGCAGCTGGGGCGGCAGCAGGTGGTCCCGCAGCAGGTGGTCTGGCAGCAGCTGGGGCGGCAGCAGGTCTCCTGGCCACAGCCCTGGTCAGAGCAGACGGAGCCACAACAGGAGTCGACCATGGTGTCAGAGGGTGGAG